GTCCCCTCAGATCTCCCCTCAGGACTCCCCTCAGGGTTTACCTTAGGGGTCCCCTCAGATCTCCCCTCAGGACTCCCCTCAGGGGTCCCCTCAGATCTTCCCTCAGGGCGCTCCTCACCTCAGGACTCACCTCAGATCTCCCCTCAGGGCTCCCCTCAGATCTCTCTCAGATTTCCCCTCAGATCTCTCTCAGATTTCCCCTCAGATCTCCCCTCAGGGCTCACTCAGGACTCATCTCAGATCTCCCCTCAGATCTCCCCTCAGGTCCCACCTCAGGGCTCACTCAGGGCTCCCCTCAGGACTCACCTCAGGGCTCCCCGGGCTTCACTTGGTCGGCGCAGAGCAGGAAGGCGTTGGCGTGGGGGTGGCAGCTCCCGGCGCTCCCGGGGTGATCCCGCAGGCAGCGCTCGAAGGCCGCGAAGGGCTCGGCACAGTCCCGGCGGATCTGCCGCACGATGGGGCTGGGGGGGCACGGGGATGGGTCAGGGGGGCACCGCGATGGCACCGGGGGGACAGGGATGGCACTGGAGGGACAGTCCCAGTGCCTCCCAGTCCCTCCCAGTCCGGCACTGACTGTGCCGAGGCGCGCTGGGCAATCCCAAACCCCATCCAGTGACAATCCCAGTCCTCCCGGTGCCCATCCAGTGACAACCCCAGTCCCTCCCAGTCCCGCACTGACTGTGCCGAGGCGCACTGGGCGATCCCGAGCCGCAGCCGGTGACAGTCCCTCTGCCAGGATTCGGGACTCGCGGCCACGCAGCGCCCGTAGCGCTCCAGCTCCGCCCCGCAGTGACGGGCCGTCAGCTCCAGGGCCAGTTCCCTGCGGGAATACCGGGAATGGGAAGGTCAGTAATGGGGAGAACACCGGGAGTCCCGATGGTCCCGTTAAAACCGAGGGGGGACACGGGAGGGTCTTGTTAACACCGGGGGTACACGGGGGGTCCCGGTAACACCGAGGTGGGCCGTTAAGCCGGGGGGGGACACGCGGAAGGGACCCTTCCCGCCCCGGCCCCGCCGCCCCTTCACTCACATGACGCCGCCGCCGCCGCGCTTCCGCCAGCACCGCTCCCCGCGCACGCGCGGGCGGAAGCCCGGGGGCGGGGGCTCGGAAGCGGAAGAGACGAGCCGAGGGCGGAGGGAAAATGGCGGCGGCCGCGGCGGCCCCTCAGGACGAGCTGGTCTCGTCGGTGACGCTCTACCGGCGGCGGCCGCGCCTCCTCCGCGCCACCGTCCTGCCCTTCGCCGCCGGGCTCTACCCGGCGTGGCTGTGGCTGTGGGGGCCGCGGCTGTGGGGGGCGCAGGGGGAGCAGGAGGAGGAGGAGCGGGGGGGGCCCCCCGAGGCGGCGCTGCTGGCGCTCGGCGCCATCGCGGCGCTGCAGCTGCTCACGGCGCTGGCGGGGCTCTGGTCCGTGCACGCGCAGTGCGCGCTCACCTGCGTCAGGGTGAGCGAGGGGCAAAGGGGGGACTGGGGGGCTGAGGGGAAAAGGGGGGATTTGGGGTGCGAGGACCCCCCAA